CATTGTAACTGAACTACGAGTTGTGAGAGACGACAGCACGGTTGGTGCGGTGGTTGGGTAATCGGCGGTTTGACTCCCGCACGGAGCTCCTCTTTGTGTGATCCCCAAATTGTTGTTTCGGGTTTAAACTGTCAAACACCAAGCGGTCACCGGTGACCGCAACCTATTGTTCTATAATTGTGTCTACAAAACCGGTACTCGACGAGTTAAGTGCCATATTATTATGTATGTAGACTTATATAATTGTAAATGCACAGAAGAAAGTCCTAGGGTGTGGTAACGGTTTTTAAAATAAAAAAACACAATAATGATACACCAAACTTGGCAGCATAAAGTTTATTAAAGAAACTGTTTGGTTTATATTCAATGTTGCCTCAAACGCGACTAACAAGTATCACAGAGTCATAATGCAAGTTTATAGTTTGTTTAGTCACAATAGCAGAATCAGAAAATGACTGCCCCAATAATATTTCAATCGCTGAAAGAAAACCAAACAAAAATCATAACATGGATACCACAATTAGATATCTGCTGTCCTGGCCTTTAACATACATATGAACTAAATGCAAGTCATACATAATATCGATTCAACCATTTTCCTATAATAACGGTAAGATCTTCTAAACTGCTGACTATCATAAACCTTTTTAATGTGGAGAATAGCCACAGAGAGATCATGGTAATCTCTAGGATCTTTTAAATAAAGGGGATCATCCCAAACGTCTTCTTGAACCTATCCCAGGATCCCTTCTGGTCAAGTGTACAAACGTACAGTTATATTACATGACTATACTAATAGTATTAGCCAGTTACATCAAGTGACGATATCTGGGAGGTGACTAGCATGGTTGGATGCGTAGAGCTGTAGATCGAGCTCAGTAAAATGTCATTGGAGAGGTCTATGTCCGGTAGTGAACGAAAACTGGCTGCTGATGATGATGATGATGATAATATTATGAAGAGGAAATATAAAAGTTTTGACTGACCAAACACACACGTTAATTAAATAAGCTCTTTTACTACGAAACCTATTTTTTTTAATGAAATAAGCCGGTAAATGAACGGACTGATTACCTGATGGTAAGCTACCGGCGCCGCCCATGAACACATGAAACATCAGAGGTGGTACAAGGACGTTACTGGCCTTTTGGGGATTAGCATTGTTAGGGATTCGGGGATTGGGGAAATTGGGGAGGGAAAGACGACGAACACAACGCAAGCCTTGTATTACGTCGGTTTTTGTGAGGCCGTGGTATCACTCCGGTCGAGCCTATTCGTGCCAAAGCATGACTCTCCCATACTTTCACTGATATTCTTAAAGAAACAAGGCCTAGTCAAGATAAACCTTTTAAATTATTTAATGGCGAAACGTAATATATAAAGTAGCTTCCATCTTTTGTGTATTTTCAATTGTTAGGTTAATTTTATCCTAAAATATACTTTTATTGTGAAAATAAATAAAAAGAAACTGAAAGGTATTGTCAAACGTATAAACTTACTCTTATACGTTTACGTTTACCAAAGAAAATGCGGTGAAATATAACGGACGTCTACTCAAACATTACTTACTTTATTTAAGTTAGAAAGAAAGAAAGATCGTTTATTTGTCAAACATGTGTTAACATAAACTGAGTAATCAGACATGCAAGATATTAAATAGTTTGTTGTGCGTCCATGTAACACAAAATCTTTGGTTTATCTTGATTCTTAATGTAATAAGTGATTTGATTTATATAATAAAGAAAAAAAATAATAATAATGTTAAAACAATACTTTAGTAATTAGAATAAGGTTTTCTACGTATTTCCGACATAGCTCCGTCTCTGTCACGCACTCGAATAATAATTGCTAATCAAAATCCTCCCCAGATTTGAAATATGGTCGTAAACGATGAACCTTATTTAAATTTTGAGGTCGACCAAAGACGTTTTCAGTCACAAAAGTCCAATTTACAAGTCCCGTAACCGAGAATGATGAATAATATTTGATCTATTTCGAAGTTAGGTTCCTAACATTTTGCTAGGCTGAAGTCTAGATGTTTTTGATTCATCTTCAAATGTAAATGGAACATCCATCATTGAATAATACAATGGATTTGGTTTAAGTAAGAAAAGCATTAGGTAGCTACGTTTAATGAAAGAAAGCCTGGTATTTTTGAGAACATTATGTCGATTTTGGAAAACTTTTACATAAAATTATATTACGACGCCCGGCACTAAGGATTTTTTTTAAGGGGGGAAAATCATCGAATGACTTCTCCCGCCTGGGTGGGGCGAGAGGGAGTGTCAGACTCTTACTGACTAAAACCACCCCGTTCCTTCTACTGCACGTCGAGCCGGAGCCCCGGTTCTCCGTGACATAGCACTAAGGATAGGATCTAATGTGTCAAGGGTTCCATTTCAATTTCCAAATGCGCCATCTTGCTTTCAAACAGGAAAAGAGTATCGAATTTTGTTCGATAGATCCAAAAAAATAACCATTTTTTCACAACATGTTAGACGTCTCAGAGTTTGGGCTTAAGAAGCACTTATCTAGATCCTACACAAATCCAATTATTATCCGGACACCCCGTATCTAGCAAACGCAAATAATTTGGGAAAAGAGCAACATTCACGCCATATGCCCTGGACCCTCATCAATCAATTGTCAACCGTAAGTACGGGCAGACAGAGTGAAAAATGTTTTGTGTGCAGGTATACGACTGATTGGTATCGAGAATACGTTAGGCTCAATTATAAGCTCGGTTTGGTTTGAAATAAAAATATGCATTTGTTTTAAAGTCCGCAGTGTATGGCGCACGTTGCCGCATGAATGAACTGGAATAACGTCGAGCTTTTGCTCTGCAGTAGGATTGGCGAAATTTCGTTCGTCATACACCTTTTGAAAATCTATGTAATGATGGGAATACTAATCGAATAATAAAATAACATTACTGCACCTACCATAAAAATAATTCAACCTATTTTTCTAAGCCCCATAATCTCAGGCTACCCTAAACAGTCATGCTAAGAACCACCCAAAAAGACAGTACTTTGTCTACCCCTTTAAGATAGAAACAAGCGTAACGTTCCCTATATAATTTAACTGAAACTTAACAGTAACTACTGCAAGTAGATTTAGGAGCACAATAGCCTTCTCACGGCGTCGGTCAGCCTCCAAAGTTTACGGAACGTATTGTTACATGTTCCCATAGTTGGGAATATTCCGGGATTTATTGTTCACTGTGAAAACCTCGAAAAGCATCCGGATTTTCGCTAAGCTGTAGGAAAAGTATTTACTTAGTGAGTTTTGGTTTATATATATATATATATATATTTTTTTTTTTTTTAACGTTGCCCCACACTAGGATTTTCTCCTGTGTCGTGGGTGCGTTTACAAACATACAATATCACATACACATGACACCCAGACCCGGAACAACAATCTGTGAATCACACAAAGAGTTGTTCCGTGCGGGAATCGAACCCGCGACACGTTGCGCGGCAGCCAGTTGCCCAGCCACCGCACCAACCGTGCAGTCGAGATATTGTTTGTGATATGAATACAAATACAAGAATACTAACTTCTGTGAAGTCCGTGACTTCCGAGCTATACCTACTCAAACCTCTGCTACGAAAGTCAGTGCCCTCTCCAGGGCTATCGTAGACTGCGATGGAGCCCTTGAGCACACAACCATTTGGGGTCCTTTTGGAATTATTTTTTTTAACGTAGCACCACACTAGGATTTTCGCTTGTATCGTAGGTGCGTTCACAAACATACAAGTTCACATACACATGACACCTAAACCCGAAGCAACAATTTGTAGATCACACAAAGATTTTCTCTGTGCCGGAATCGAACCAGCTACACGTTGTTGAGCAGCCGGTTGACGCTCAACGTGTAGCAGATGTATGTCCGTCGTAGAAACTGTCGGTCCTTTGGAGCCCCTGGAGGATGGGCCCCGAGTGCCCATATGGTAAAGACAGTACGCGCCCTCACCCATAAAAAATAATGGAAGTTTAAGGTGAATAAAAAAACTGTAAAAGATTAATATGACTTATCCACTACCTCTGTTATTTCCCAGAGGGTATGGAAAATGATAATATGGTACGTCTTGTTTCGCCATGTGAGTAAAGTTACCAGTTGCCCAATTCCCTAACCTGAAAGGCCGTTATACACTTGTCTCTTCTGATGCTGTGTGTCATTCAATTTAATGTGTTACTTGAAGACTATAGTTCTGTTTTCTTTTTTTAGGGGGGGAAATCATCGAATGATAGACTCTTACTGACTAAAAACCACTCCGTTCCTTCTCCTGCACTTCGAGCCGGAGCCCCGGCAAGCCGTTAAGCCCTCCGTGGCTCCGTATCGGCATCAGCCCTATTGAGCCCCGTACGTGGTGGTCTCAAAGCTCTTTAAGGCGCGAAACGCGACGCGCCGCACTTTCGGGATATTATAATACATGCAAACCAAATTCACTTACAATTAAACTTAGAATTTAACTAATTTAACTTAGAATTAAAACCTACCTACGTCCCTACTTACCTACCGCTCTCATCAGATTCCCTCTTATCTCCTAAACAAAAGCCTTACAAAGACAAGTTTAAAAGGAAAATATAAATAAACAGACACACAGATAATACATAATAATGTCTTCAACGGTATATTGTGTTCAAAGGAGAAGCGTCGGACATTATCACGGGACGTCGATACAGATCGCTTTGTAACAGAATCGTGACGTCACAACATGGCCGAAAACGTTCCAGTTTTAAACTTATTTCGTTGAGTCTCACAAGTTTGGCTGGAAATTATATCACTTTTGTACTCGGTAGTTATATTATAGGTATTTATTTTGTTTGTGTTCAAGTTTAAATTGAATGATTTCGAATTGCTTCTTATTATTGTCTCAGAGATACTCAGGAGTGAAACATATTTTTGTTTTACAAGCAAATTGAGATGGGAGTTTAAAACACTTCCTCTTATTAAACAAAAATAATTAACAATCTTATTTCTTTGTTCACAGGATAAACATCTGCTGTTAAAACTTCATTAACTACGGTAAGATTTCAATATAAAAGTATTTAAATGCCCGTTATATGATAATAGAGTCACCCTCTATTATATCAGAGTCATAACCTAAATAGTGAAAAGTGAGTATTATATTGTACAGTGGCATTGAATGCCGCAAAGCCTACCCCTTCAGGGATAAAATGCGTGATGTTATGTTATTTAAATAATAATTTTATGAGGATAGAAAAAATCGAAAGAGGTGAGTGTATAGTTTTTGTAGGTACAACCACTTCATTTTCCGTCCCCAATCCGAGTTTAATATAAATCCCTTCCTTCTAAAATTACCTAAACATTATCTTAATTTGATTATACCTGAACATCTTCGTAGAAAAACATAGTCATTTCCTTTGTTCTCCGTTCATTTAAGTTCAAGGTAGGTAAATGGGGGCACGTCTCTTTGCCCAAATCCTATTTACGGTTACGAGACGACTAACTAAAAGTGGCCAAAACGGGAATCCCTCAGAAAATTGCCTGGGCATGTTTTTTGTTATGCCCGGAATACTAAATAGCGGGCAAATACAGTATTGGAGCTATTCCGGTGGTTATTTTTTGGGACAGTCGATTCAGTTCCTCACCAATGCTTATTAACATAATTTAATATTGTACCTTTTTCTCGGCGGAATAAACAGGGTACATATAATGTTTGGGTAGGAAAATATCTTTTCTACATACTATATTTGACTAAGAGTCGTGATGGCTCGGAGGTTTAAAACGCTTGCTTCTCATGCATGAAGGTGCAGGTTCGAAACCTACCAACAGCAAGTCCCCATGTGACTTTTAGAGTTATATATTACTAGCTTTTACCCGCGGCTTCGCTCGCGTCACAAAAGGATAAAAAGTAGCCTATGTGACATATACCAATACACACAGTGCCATCTATACCAATACTTTTGTTTTCCCTCGGGAATATAAAATTTTTCCATGATAAAAAATACCCTATTTTTTAATCCGGACTTATAACTTTACGTCTGCAAAAATTCAAATCAATCGGTTTAGTAGTTACGGCGTGAAAGCGGAACAAACAAACAAACTCACTTTCCGATTTATAATATTAGTAAGGATTTGGACAGCACTGAGAAACGGTGAAGGAAAACAAGCCTTTCCGTGTGAGAAGAGGCCTTTGGTCAGCAGTGGGCACTTATAGGCTGCTGTGTTAAATAAAATAAAATTACTAACGAAACATAACATAACATCACGCCTTGCATATCCGAAGAAAACAGAAGCTGGTTATGAACATAGATTTATTGATTTGTTACCAAAACAATGTTTTTTGAGATAATTTAACCACTATCAAATTACTTAAATGAATCAACTGTTATGCTTGCAATTACTTTAAAAAAGTATGGGAGAGCCATGCTTCGGTACGAATGGGCCCGCTCGACCGGAGTGATACCACAGCCTCACAGAAAACTGACGTGAAGCAACGCTTGCGTTGTGTTTCGTCGTGTGGATGAGGTTACCGGAGGCCCAATTACCCTCCCCTTCCCCAATCTCCCCAATTCCTGAATCCCCAACAATCCTCAAACTCCTAATTCCCCAAAATGCTGGTAACGCACTTGTAACGCCTCTGGTGTTCCGGGTGTCCATGGGCAACGCCGATTGCTTACCATCAGGTGATTCGTTTGCTAGTTTACCGGTTATGCCATTAAAAAAATTAATATAACGATATTTAAAATGAAAAATCTCCGTTATTTATCTACGCACAATTCATTATATCACAAAATAAATTCAACTATTTCTCTAAACAATAAATATTTTTGCGTTCGCAATTTATCGCGCGGTAAATCTTTTTTGTAACGCTCTATCATTGTACATACACGGCTACAAGTCAAGCTATAATAAACCAATATAAACTGGCCGTTGAATGTGAAGGAGAATCAAACAATGCGAGATCACGATTAACTGGATTATGATACATAATATTATTATGTACATAGTCTAGTCATCCAGTTAATCCAGTTAAAAGATTATATTATAATATCAAGCTATGCAAAACCAGTATAAACTGTTCTTCAAATGTGCGGAAAGTTCATACAAAGCGGGACCACGATAAAGTGGTTTTGTATAGTTCGATGTGTACGTAAACTTGGCAACGCCTCCCGCCATCTGGCTAATGCGTTCACTTATATAATAATCAACTGACATTTACAAAAACGGACTCTTTTATTTTATGACCAGGGAAATTTCCATAAGTTTTCCCCTCACCCTCCAATACATAACCAACCCTCAACCACAAAGAATAGAGTTGCTTTTCATTTGTGTTTGTCTGGACAACCGTTATGTTCGTGCAATATTTTCTTATTTTCTTTTAACTTTACTATTTTCGTTTTTAGTGTTAGGAATATTTATGGCGTGTTATATTTATTTAGTTTTCTGGTTTTATTTGACCAACTAAATAACAATTATGTTTACTTATTATTTATATAATTATGTTACTGTAAAAGCTCGAACTACGGCTAATCTTAAGATTTAAGTGTAAGTCTTAGGATTTACCGACATGAGTTGGTAAATGTAAGTATTTCTGAAGATACGACGATTTTTTCGAGCTTTTACCATTCGAACTCAGTATATGCTAGGTTTACCACTGTCAGCTGGTAGATGTTGGTTTTAGGAATAAAACAATGAGTAATTCTTAATTACTCAACTACGCG